CTACTCCGAATCAGCATGTACTGATCTTTCCATAGGTTTGCCACCTGCATATTGGGCAGGCCGGCACTCAGCTTGGCAATGCCGCCTGGGAGTTGTAAGAACGAACCTTGCGCCCACCGCTACTTTGCATCACGATTGCTAATCCGCTTCCCCCAGGTATCTCCTCGAACACGGCCTGAAGGCTGATGGTCGACCCGATCCTGATGCCAACGTCGGTGATCCTGGAGCCTTTGAGACCTTTTTCACCGAGACCAGCAACAACAAACACGTCCCTCGGTCGATTTTCGTCGATCTCGATCCATCCCCTATTGATGAAATCCGAACTGGTCAATACAGACAACTTTTCCACCCAGAGCTATTGATTAGTGGTAAAGAGGATGCTGCAAACAATTACGCTCGGGGTCACTACACCATCGGCAAGGAGCTCGTAGATGATGTTTTGGACAAGGTTCGTCGCGTTGCAGGTGAGTCTTGACGCGACTTCATCCGAGAAAGACGCCGAAACCCCTGACCCTTCGCTAGACAACTGTTCCTCACTCCAAGGCTTCCTGATCTTCCATTCCTTCGGAGGAGGTACTGGATCCGGCTTCGGTGCCCTGCTTCTCGAGCGGCTTTCGGTCGACTATGGGAAAAAGTGCAAATTGGAATTTGCTGTCTACCCGGCCCCACAAGTGTCGTCGTCGGTCGTCGAACCCTACAACGCCGTTCTCTCCACTCACAGCACCATTGAGCACGCTGACTGCACATTCCTGGTGGATAACGAAGCTGTGTACGACATCTGCCGTCGCAGCCTGGATATTCCTCGACCCGATTACGAGCATCTGAATCGCCTCATCGCCCAAGTCGTGTCCTCTGTCACTTCAAGTCTCCGCTTCGATGGTGCTCTCAACGTCGACTTGAACGAGTTCCAGACCAACTTGGTACCGTATCCTCGTATCCACTACCCGCTTATCAGCTATGCTCCTGTCGTGTCCACCAAGCGATCCTCGCACGAGAGCTTCAAGGTCCACGACCTGACGCTGCAGTGCTTTGAGCCAAACAACCAGATGGTCGTCTGTGACCCTCACAACGGAAAATACATGGCTGTTGCCTTGCTCTACCGTGGTGACGTTGTTCCGCGCGATACGAATGCTGCTATTGCCTCCCTCAAGGCCAAATCAAGCTTCCACTTGGTCGATTGGTGCCCCACTGGATTCAAAGTCGGCATCAACTATCAACCTCGTAAGTTTCTCGATGATTCTTGCTTGCTCTATTTTAATTAACACTCTATCGTAGCCATGCCCGTTCCCGGTGGCGAGCTCGCCAAGGTCGACCGCTCCGTTAGCATGCTGTCCAACACCACCGCCATCGCCGAGGCCTGGAGTCGACTCGATCATAAATTTGATCTGATGTACTCGAAGCGAGCGTTCGTGCACTGGTATGTCGGCGAAGGTATGGAGGAAGGCGAGTTCTCCGAAGCTCGGGAAGACCTCGCGGCATTGGAAAAGGACTATGAGGAAGTTGCTAGCGACAGTCTCGAGGCAGAAGACGAGACTGGCGCCGAGTACTGAGTCATCCAACCAAGACCTAAGTGAATGAAATCCCGGAACCTCCTCATTTGCAATCACACAGACACGGTCAATTAGCAGATCACGGAGCTCCAAGTCATGCAGAGCATGAACGAAACCATGCGGTCTTTGGACTAGAGAAGCAGACCCTTGACAGAATGTGCCCGGAGTGAGTTAGCCTACGATATGAAAGCATGAGACGAGTCACGGCAGCGAGGGAGTCGATAACACAGATTGAAATACTGATTGTTACCATGAGAGATACCAAATTCTTGAGGATTGGTGACACTATTCAGAGGACTGCAAGCCCAAAGTGGCATCTTAAGTAGTAAATGAGAATCATCTCGCAATATTCGAGGCAGAGACGTAGAGGTCCGCCAGAGCATTGGCTCAAACGTGACAACAGACAGCCTTGGAGGCTTCGAGCACGTGACCGGGCTGAGTGCTTCTCCAAGTCAGTCTACACTTCATCCCCGCCTCGTCCTGTGGTAGGTAGCGAGGCCGTTGTTCACGCATATATTGAGACCTGGTGACCAGAATATTACAAAGTCTCATGGCCCGACAATGACTTCGTCTATTCCATTCGCCATATAAGAGTCGCTTCGGGTCCACAATGTCAAATGTGACTTCTTCCTCCCCGCCGCAACAGCGGCCGTCTCTTTACCGTTCTCAATCCCATGCCAACTCCTCGAACAAGAACGATCCCTCGTCATCCAACCAACCTCAATCAGCAGAGCCGAGTGCTCGACCTTCACGACCCTCCCATGGCAGATCAAAATCCTATCTCTCACCTGCAGATCCTAAACCACGGAACGCCATCACGCTCCCTACTGCAACCAGTGCGTTCGAGAAGACGGCATCGCGCCTACACCTACCAGGAACCTCACATCGACACCACCATCAGAAGGATAAAGACCACAACTCCAGTGGACACCAACACTCCCAATCACATTCTCACATATCACACCATAACAATGATTCAACACACAGTCTCACCTTCAGACGTCACCGCCCCACGCAGTCCGAAGCACATCCCATCCGTCGATTCGCTTCAAAGGAGGCTCTCTCGACCCTCCCTCATCTGGTTGCAGGACTCAACGCGGAGCGAGACAAGCGAATACACACAGGAAATGTGCCCAACCCGATAAACCCAACAAATCGCAGTGCTGGCAGCAACGGTGTCAACAGCACGGGTGCGCATTTCTTCGGTCCTTCTGCCGCAATATCAAGCGATTTCCAGGCCGGCGGTCGCTATGATTACAATGCGTCCGGATTTCCTGAACTACGCCGGCGTGCGACATCCGATCCCGCCTCTCGTGACAAAATCTCTCAACCAGCTCCAGCACATCCCCTCCGGCCCAAGACGTCGTTTGAAGAAGCCCTCGATCGCGGTGACGCCGCACGCGTCGCACGGCGCATCCATGTCAAAGTTGAGGATCTCCAGCGCCGCGACACCGAACTCCGAGCTGGTGAAGAAGAACTTCGATCCCGCGTTGCAGAGATAACCGCCACAGGCGTCGAAATAACTCGTCGATTAGACTATGGATACTACAACTTGCTCGAGAAGGTTGGAAGCCTCGTCAGCATGATCGGTAGTTTTCAGTCTCTAGCACGACAGACTGAGACATTGATAAGGAATTTCGAGCGCGAGAGCAAAAGGGTCGATGAAGATACACGCCGACGGGTCAAAACTCTGCAGGGGGGCTTCGAGGCCAGGCAGGTGAAGGCCAAACAATTGTCAGAGCGTGGAGACAAGGTGAGCGCCAGGGCGAGAGAGCTATCTGCCCGATTGGAGAAAGCTCGAGCGAAAGTGGAGGAATGGGAGAACCGGGAAGAGAAATTCCGCAAGGCATGGGACCGTGTGTGGGGAATCGTGTGGTGGACGAGCATTGCGGTGCTTGTTATCGTCCTCGCTGTGGTACTGGGCAAGGAATGGTATTTCCACGGGGATCCCGTGAAGGCCGGGCTGGGACAGCATGGTGAAGGGAATTGGAACCGGAGCCTGAGACTCGGTGGGACAGCGGGGGGCCAGGAGAATGAGAGACTCCTTCGTCTCAGTGAAGGCGGTGACGGCAGCGCTCCTAGCGACCCCAGCAGCAACGAGAATGACACCGCCAGCGGAGAGAAGAGGCTGAACGTACCAGACGACGTGAGGGAGATTCTCTTGGGTATCGCTGAGAGGAACTACAGGAGGAAAAAGGCATTCCCGGAGGTTCCTAGCTTGGTGTTTGGGACGCCTCGGCTGACGACAAACTCAGAGGAAGACCAGTGTCGAGAAGACCCGAGACTGGCCAGGTTGGACGAGCTCTGACAAGCGGAGCAGTTCACCAGCTCTTCTCTCTCTCTCTCTTTCTCTCCTCTGCGTATGGAAACGGAAAAGGAAACGAAATACAGCGTTCGAAGCGATGGATTTGAGTTATGTACGTTGCTCGCAGGCGTCGTTGATGTCTATCTTTGGCATATTTGCATATTTGCATATTTTAATTTGTGAAAGAGAGATACCCCCCGATCTAGCCTATCCCTCATGAGAAACATTCCGTTGCCTTCCCTTTTGGGAGAGAGATTTATCAAATACTATCTGAATAATCTTCTCTTTCCTATCCTATGCCATCCTATCTTATCCTTTACTAGACCGAGAGACACATTAGAGAAGCCCAGAGGGAGAGAGAAACAGAAGCCGAAATACATGTGTGTGTGTGTGTGTGTGTGTGTGTGTGCGTGTGTGTCGTTGGGACACGATGATTTCTATTGATCTATCTGTTCATTCAGTCCAGTCCAGTCCAGCAGTACAATGTAAGAGATGAGAGACGTCTCCCTCTATCACTCCTGACCACACCAATAAAGAATTTCCTGCATCTCTAGACAGGGAGATTGTGCTTTATTTCCCTTCCAAAATAGAGAAACACCCACAAGCAGCCTTAAGTGGGTTTGAGATCAAAAAGCCAGGGGGAAAATCATCCAAACCATTTCCACCGCATAATACATTTCCTTCAACAAGGCGAGGACGATTCTTCCCCTGCGCCAGATTCCATCATAGATCAGATGACTTGACCGCATGACATGTTGTAGAGAGCTGAGTGTGTCTGATGGCAAATTGACAAGAGTCCTCATAGCGAGAGACTAGAATAACAGTGATGAGCGTTGACGATCGACGAGTGATATCGTCAGAGCTTTGCCCGTGATGGAGTTTTTCTTTGAGAATACAAGACGCAGCAAGGAGGTTATGAGTGACTTGAAACCTGAGAGATGTGTCCGGTAGCAAATCGCGAACTTGAGCCATGCTTGACTGTTGCGATCTTCACCCGGAAAACAAATCTGCTCCAGTGCCATCCCCAGAAGTAGGACGTGAACATGCGGAGCAGAAGAATGCAGGAGAAGAACCTGATCAACCACATCGTTTTTGTGTAGAGAGAGAGCAGTTGAGGTGCATAGTCATGGTATCATGCCAGGAGGTCATCTGCTGGCCCCATTGACACCATTAGAAATCTTATAGGCAACAACTGCTTTTTCTAATGCCTGTAGGACATCCTTCTTGAGATCCTCTGCATCTTCGACACCGCAGCTAAGTCTGACAAGATCGTCAAATACACCAATAGCCTCTCGTTGTTCCTTGGGAATTCCCGCGTGCGTCATAGCACTAGGAACTTCGCATAGACTTTCGACGCCTCCCAAGCTTTCAGCAAGGGTAAAGATGCGCGTTTGTTGGCAGAATCTCTCTGCGGCAGCGTGTCCACCTTTGAGACGGAAACTGAGCATCCCACCACCCATGCCTTCGCGGTGCTGCTTGATGGCAATCGCCCTCTGCTTGTGAGAATCCAGACCAGGATAGTTCACTGCAATGACATGTGGCGAGGCCTCCAGTGCTCGAGCAACAGCTAGCGCATTTGTGCTTGCCTCTCTTGCTCGAAGATGCAGTGTCTTCAGCCCTCGGTGAGCAAGCCAGCAATCGAATGGTGAAGGCACAGCTCCAATGGCGTTTTGGAGAAAGGTCAAACGTTCCTTCAATTCGTCCGAGTTGAATGCAGCAACGCCCATGACGACATCTGAGTGTCCGTTGATGTATTTTGTCACAGAGTGTACAACAATATCGGCTCCATGGTCCAGTGGATTCTGCACGTAGGGCGATAAGAATGTATTGTCCACCACAACCAGAATGCCGTGTCTGTGTGCGACTGACGCGACATTCCTGATATCAACGAGACTCAGTGTAGGATTTGAAGGACTCTCAATCCAGATGAGTTTGGTTTGCTCCCTGATCAACTCTTCAACGTCCAGTTCAATAGAAGGTGAAAATGTGACCTCCACGCCATGTGCTAGAGCCACTTTTGTGAAATAACGATGAGTGCCTCCGTAGACATCGGAAACGGATATGACATGTGAGCCCGCAGCGAGCGACTGGAGTATTGTCGCCGTGGTAGCTGAGCCGGAGGCAAATGCCAGAGCGAATCTGGCGTGTTCAAGTGCGGCCACAGCCTCTTCAAAGTTATCACGGTTTGGGTTGGCGCTGCGACTGTATTCATACAACCCGACAGGCTTGCCCACAGCCGTCTGTGCAAAGGTTGTAGACAGGGATAGAGGCTCGATGACGGCGCCTGTAGAGGGATCTAGTGGCGAACCGGCATGCACCGCCAGTGTGCCAAAATTGTAGACGGGGGAAGGGGCTCGAGCAGGAGTGACGATGCCGCCATCTTCGTTGGTCAGGATACGCTCGTTAGGTCGGAGAGGTCGGGGTGACAGAGGGACTTGAACTGGGACAGTCATGACGACTATGGGGTTTTGTTTCTCTCTGCTTTGTTACCAGAGAACCAGAAAAAACGGGTGATGGCGGTGTGTTCTGGGGGAAGTCGGATGCTGGTTGCGGGGTTCAACGAGGATGAGCTGGAGGTGAAGCACAGGGAAGACAACACAGATAGAACGGGGCACTAGTTGGAGAAGAGAGAGGTTATGTACTTGTTCAGCACTGGTTCATCTTGTTTGTAAGAAGAGACATTTTTTGGTCATCGATTCCTCTCTGATGGAATTCTCTGGTTTGACCCGCGGGTCATCATATCAAAATAATCAATCAAACAAAAAGTTCAAAGATGACGTGCTTTAAGACCCAGGCATGCTCCAGGCACCACAGGCAGTTCTGTAAGCCCAAGAACGGCGACTGCCACTTGCGCCGTCAGACCCTGAGCGGGTGATAGGCTCCTCCGCGTTTAAAATTAGTGGCTCCTCTTGCCCCTTTGCCAGCTTCACCAGCATGCGCGCCATCCAAAGGGCGTTGATGACAAACTCATTCCAGGGGCAGTTGCAGTAGTCGCCGCTTAACCACGGATAGCCCCGCCAAGTGCTTGGACAATTGTAACCACCAACAGCGAGTGCTTCCCTCGAACCAACCAATACGCCGAATCCATAAGGACTACACCGACGTTCCAGTGGTCAAGTGTGGTTAGCCAAATGCATGGGCAACTGCACGCTGTCAGGTAATATCGACGAAATGTACAGCGCTCCTCCATTTGATCAGTCGCAGTTTTGCGTCACCACCAGTCCACGCCGCCCAACCCAGGCTCGCCCATTGATGCCTGGACTAGGTTAGAAATGCTCTCTCAGGTTATGGTCTGGATGTAATACCTCGATAGAGTAGGGCACTCTATACTCTACCACCGGAGCAGGTTCAGGTTCGCCAGGTTTCCTTATCTTGGGAGGTGTTGGTGCTTGGTCATTCCACTTTTCAGCCTCGACACGAACGTTGACGATGGTGCCTTCATCGAGATAGATTGGGTCGCCTTCAGTCTCCCAGACCCAGGTCTGTTCAGTCTCGTTGCTATTGACGGTTCAATATGGAGCTCGCACTTGTTTCATCCGTGAATCAACTCACTAAACACACCCCTCGAAAAGCATGGTCGGTGGGACAAAAATGTCGTCGAAGAATCGTGTTGTAACTTGGCGCCGTAGACTTAGCATCCAATGCTGAAACTGGTGCTTGGAACTTACTCCGAATGCCTTCTGGTGTACATTTCTGGATAACACCGGTAATGATCTCGCCTTTGAATGGTCGAAACACAATCATTCGAAATTGAACTTTGATTTCCCATTAGCCCCGCGAAACGAACACAGCAGGGGTTCTCGAGCACCGTTGACATTGGCATTTCCCGTGCCATTACCGATCAAGCCATCAGAAGCCTTCAAAAGGTCATACATGCAAATGCACAGTCCAACCTTCTGCACAACCTGGCACAAGGGTTAGAAACTGGAGATCAAGTGCCCTGGGTGAAGCAGACTTTGTTTGAATATTTTTCATTGATACGGTCTTCGAGGTCTTGTCGGGTAATTTGGTTGTTCACAAATCCATGTGGCGGTATCTGCACCAGGTCGTCGAAAGTGGTCTATCGAATTAGTATTTCTCTGTGTTCCCGACCGAGTAGAATAGTGAGGTGACCGTACGAGAATGAACATGTTCCTACGGTATGCGCAGAAGGTTCCGTGATTGGGAGTCGGACAAGACGAAATGTAGCATGTTCTGGGACTCTGAGAATCAGGGTACACTGGAATGCTGGAACAATGGAATAGCGAGTGCTATGGGTGTGGCTTGGGAAAATCTTCCTGTCATGTTGGAGAGACTTTGATAGAGGATCCGCTCACGCGCCGCTTTTAGCCACAACGTGGTCTTGGCAGCTCCTTTTCGCCACCATCAGGAGCGAATTTCATCCTCAACCTGCATTCCACCTTGAACGTTCTTGTGCCACCATTTGCTACCTATCATCGTCGCTGTCCTAAGCCTTATATCCCACTATCCGCAGAAAATCCCTGCGCTTTGCGATGTCCGCTTCACCTTCGATACCTTTGGGACTGAAGCCATCCACCACGCCTAGGATTCCTCGGCCTTGCTCTGTCTGGGCCACAATCACTTCCACAGGATTCGCCGTTGCGCAGTAGATGCGACAAACCTCGGGGACAACGCGGATAGCGCCGAGGACATTAAGAGGGTACATGTCGCGTAGGAAAATGATGAAGCTGTGGCCGGCGCCAATGGCCATTGCATTTCGCTGGGCCAGAGTGACCAGCTCTGGATCCGTTCCCGAGTAGCGAACCAAGCAGACATCCGAGGCCTCACAAAAGGCAAGGCCGAACTTGGCCCCCGGGACAGTGTTGAATATAGCTTCATGAAGGTCTTCGACCGTTTTGATGAAATGAGAGTGGCCGAGAATCAGGTTCAGGCCCTGAGGGTTATCGATGAGGACGGTCTTGAGTTCCATGTGTGGTTGCTGAGCTTGACTCTTGAGAAATTGTTCGTTGTGTTGGAAGTTGTAGGGTTTTGCATGTAGTTTTACTCCCTTGCCTCATATACTTGACTGGTTTTGAGGCCTGGGGATCAGGTGATGTTTAAGTCTCACCTGTTTTGACCGCGTCCCATCCATGCAGCCTCTTTATACTTGTGTGATGATCGTGTTAAATGTCGCATGACAGACCGGCCGTATACAAGCAGGCTTTTCAATTCCAAAGAGACCGATGTGGTTGGGTTTACTGCATATATATACTCGATACCTGTGTCTACATCCGTATCTTGATCCCTTGCTCGCTTCGTAGAACTCTGCAAGCCCAAAGAACCCTTCTACATTTAAACCCCACGATAGTAGAACATGTCAAGACCTTGGCTGTTGAGACGGCGAATGATGCAAATACGTATATAAGGATGGAGGAAATTGTATTCAATAGCAGTAGTAGTTGAGTGGACAGGACAGTGGGCCTGCCGGGGACGTGCAGGGCGGCAAGGGTTTCGGGTTCTAGCCTTATTTCTCAGCCTTGCCACTAGCTCAGCCTCGCATGGCGGGCACCGCCAAATAAATATTTGTATCAGTCAACACCACCCGACTCCGCAGCCATCGAACCATATACAAGTTTTGCTGCTTGAAATTCTGGGTGCAGGTACTTGTGTTGGATCCCGCGTACCCAAATGATTTACCAAGTACTTTAGCGTTGATACCTGCTTATATCATTGTGCTCTCTGGATGTCTAGCCAGCCCTTTTCCTTCCCACCTCCGCCTCCACCTCCTCCCAAACGAACGGAGACGACTTTTCAGCAGAATCAAGCCTTTCAAAGCAGCAGAGGGTCATTTAGAGGTGGCCATCCCTCCAGAGGATATGCAAGAGGTGGGCGTGGAGGGTATGGCAGCACCCGTCCGGGATCAACTACGTCGTCCGCAGTATACAATCAGAATTGGTCGCAGAAGCCCTTGAATAATGGTCCACAAAGAGGAAGTTTTCTCAACGCCCCGCAGAAGCGCAATCACGGCACCGCATTTGCTCCGGCACAGCAACATCGCCCACGTCCTACGGCCGCGCCCGCAGTGCCTAGCTTTAATGCTTCGATCGAACACCTGTTGACTCGCAGGCCATCCGTTGACCAAACTAGCCAGATACCACCCGAGCCCAAGAAGGTAGAACCCAGAAAACAAAATGCCCTCGGACTGACCCCGGCGAGATTTGACCAAGACTCCGACCCAGAAGACGATGAAGATGAGGAACAGCGTCTGGCGCACACGACGGCCTCGGGCGCGGCTGGTTACATATTCGAATACCGAGGGCATCCTCTAGCTCTGCGGACTCGAGAAGAGATATTGGCTTGGATTGGAGAAAGAAGACGGCGTTACCCGACACAAGCGCGGATTGCGGCGGCGAAGAAGGAAGCCGAGGAGAAGAAACGAAAATGGGAGGAGGAGCAGAAGGCGAAGCGAGAGGCCAGAAAAGAGGTCCTGGCCAAAAGAGAACAGGAAAGAGCCGAAAGACTCAAAGCCATTGGGAAGGTGAAACAGCCACGCGAACAGGACCAAAGCGTTCAGACTGGTGAGGAATCCGCAAATCCAAATGCCGCCGCTCGAGCGAAATTGAAGGCCGATAAACTTCGCAAGAGAGCTCTCAAAGCACAACAGGAGTTGGAGAAAGCGGAGGAAGCATTGAGACTTGCAGAGATGAAAGAAACCACATCGCCAGACTCGAGCGCTGCCACGATACCCAGTCGACTTCCTACCACAGAAGCAGGCGACGCCACGTCCAGTTCAGACCTCACAGACTCAGACGCCACCTCATCCTCTGGCTCGTCTACAAGTTCCGACTCTGATTCCGATACCGACTCGGATGCTAGCTCTGATTTAGACTCGATTCCAGAGGTCACAAGCACCAAAGAGGCCTCTCGTGCACATGTCTCTCTCCCGTTGCAACCACAGTCAAGACTACATGCGCCCCAAGTCTGTAAGCATTTCGCTAAGTACAAAACGTGCAAATGGGGATCAAGCTGCCGCTATTCTCATGATATAACTCGGAAGCATGGAAGAAGTGACATGGGAGCTACCACAGGCCAGCGTAAACCTACAACAACCACGGGTATCAGCAATATAAGGAGGAAGGGATTGTATCAGGTCATGGTGGAAAAGGAGCGAGAAGAGAGTAGGAAACGCCTGCTCAGTGCCATCATTGGCCTAGGAGAGAAGGGACTGCTTGAGAGTCCAGCGCAGAAGGCAGAAGGCATCGAATAGGTGTGCAAACCGTTATTTCAGACTTTGTTTCACTGCTGTACAGAATTCTACCAAGCAAGCGTTCACGCCCTCAACAACGACATGGCAATTGCATGCTGACTTTATACATGATTCGCATCTTCCCGCCCAGATTCTCTCCGAAACACACTCTCTATAAACTCGCGCGCTTCTCTCCCTTCCCGGATCCCCAGCCAGCCCTCTCCGCCCGCAAGAGGGAAACAGTGCATCTGGCCCTCCCACACCAGCCACTGCCCCGTCAGCCCGAGTCTTTGGCACTTGTGCATGAACGCGATTGCGTCCGGCGCCAACACGTCGTGCGTGCCCAAGACCCCGTGCACGTGTACCTGTCGTTCCTTGAGGGCGTGGAAGGCCGCGTCGGGGTTGAGGAGGGGCGAAACGCTGGGGTCGGTGAGCGGGGTGGGTTCGTGGGAGGGAGAGTTCTGTTTCTTCTTGTTCGCAGTGCCGTTGCTGTCATCGTTCGCGGTCCAGACCTGCGCGACTTCTCGTGTCGTCTTCTCTGTCAGGAGACAGTCCAGTTGATCCGCCTTGCGGATTTCTGGGTTGGTGTTGGTCAAGTCCGTGGGACCTGAGATGCTGATCAGGGCCGTGAGTGAGAACTTGCCCTCTCTTGACCTCATTCCGGGTCCCTCGTTGGTGCACTTGGTCAAGTCGTTGTCGTCGTCATCGCCAGTAGCAAGAGGTGTTTCTGTTCTAGAATGGACTTGCTGGCTCTGCTGCTGCTGCTGCTGCTGCTGATGTTGTGATGGTCCAACCCCATAATTCTGCACGGCCCAGAATCCCAGACTCAGGACGACGTTCCCGCCGCTGCTATCACCCGCCAGACTGAGCGTGTTTCCCTTCGCGGCAACCTCGTCCATGACCGTTGTGAGCCACTTTCTGAGGATCCTCAAGCTCTCGCTCGCCGGGTTTTTTGGGGCCAGTGGATAACTGACGAGGACCAGCTCGATTTCGGTGTCGGTGTCGGTGTTTTTGTGTGGTTCATCGTGGTGTTTGCCACCATCGTTGACGTCGACAGGTGAAGTACTACTGGACCGGTGTCTCGCGAGGTCTTGCGCGAGCTGTGCCACGAAGCGCCAGTGTTCGGAAGAAGGGGGCGATTGGAACCCGCCGCCGCAGAAATAATAGACGTGGTGGACGCGTCTTCCTCGCTCTCCTCCACCACCTCCTCCTCGTTCATCTCGTCCCCCTCCTCTTCGTCCTCTCGCCTTCCCCCCCTCGCCCGCGCGAGCGTTCACCCGATACCGATACATCCACACGTCGGCACACCGCGTCTCGGTGATCTGCACACCCCGCTTCCTCGGCGGCGACAGGCGCGGCGACCCCGCTGGCTGGGCTGACCCGCCGAGCTGGACGAGACGGGGACGCAGCGGTTTCATGACGGCGCGCAGAGCGCGGTACAGGAACGAGAGGTCGGTGCGCGTGGTGATTTGCACACCGCCGCCGCCGCCGAAGCCGCCGAAATGCTGCTGCGGTTGCGGTTCCGGTCCTGGTTGTTGGTCATGGCGATCGCCATTGGAGTTTCTAGAGTGTGTTTCCGCTCTCGTTGGCGCCGTCGCAGTCGCAACGGCGACCGCGGCCATAGCTATGGCTATGGCTATGTTCGGAGGAGTGGCTGGCTAGCTGGCTAGCACGTACCTATCTATGTATGATTGGTCGAGGTCGAACGCGTGTCTTCCTATGTCGGGATGGCGGTGACAACAGTGATGATGACTTTGTGCTCGATATCTCAGATGTCTTCCCTTTCCGCCTTCTTACCAAAGAATGCCGATCAAGACGAGACGAGACAGAATGACTGAATGCCACCGGTTAAATTTGACCAAGCCGCTGTACGAGGTACAGATTGATTGATTGATGGGGCTCTTCTGTGTCGCTACAAAGCCCCCTAGACATGTACCCACATACATACACGCACAAACAGACGTACATGCGTACCAAGCACGAGGTACATGTGTATATTGAATTCCCAGAATCCCAGATGTGCGTCCATCTACCAACCGCCCTCACAACCCCCGTGCGTCTAATTCTACCCCTAGATTGCTAGGACCCTGGGAGTAACCAGGGTGGGAAAAAAAAAAGGGAGTAAAAAGAGTCGTCGACGTCATGACCTACTCAGTAGTACCTCCCTGGGCTGTGCATCAAAGATGATACCGTTTTCCTGCTCTTGGGGAGGATCCACTGGCTGCGAAGCTTTATTTGGATATCACCCAGGTGTGGCTGATAAAACTTATGAACTGAACTAAATGGTGCCGAGAATGGGTTGTGAGATCAGCTGGCTTTTCTGATCCGATCTCTCTTTCTCTCTCCCTCTGACTCGATCGCCAACGAGGACACCATCAGATAGATAACGATGAATAACTGCCAACTGCAAAAGTCACAACTCCAAAAAACCATGACTGGGTGTGCCGTCGAAATCTTGTCTCCAAGAAACGATTGATATCCAGAAGGATCCAAGGTGCCAGCGTGCACTCAGTGACAATTAATCCCCCTAGCAGACTTGCGCGAATCACAGTCCATCCCTGTTACCTCTTTTCCTAGTCTTTCGAGTTCCCTGACCACATAATCCCAGCGGACATTGGGATCGTGGTCTATTAATCTGTTCAATCCAGACACCGGCCTCACCTCCCTACATGACTCTTTCTCGCTCTTGCTCTCATTGTCTCGAATTGAAATCTTGATAATACTGATAAACGGAGTTTTCAGCCGTTGCTTGGAATGCTTGCCAAGATCGCCGAGCTTGGTGGTTGTGGTGTAGGGTGGGTGTTGGCCACGGCGGAGGTGCTTGCGGTAACCCGAGAAACATAGGTAGCATTGGCGTGTCTCCCACATGGTATGTTATTTCAGTAAATGTGTGTTGGTCTGGAGAAAAGGGCCTAAATAATGGCTCTAATACAGGCAATCTGGGAGACGCTGTTGCCTGAGTCGCAAGACTGTTGTCGGGATTCGGGACAAAATCAGGGGTGCTTAGAGGTCCATAAATCGACCCGGACTCACCAGATATGGGTTCTGGGGGTCCAACCTCGTTATTTCTGGCTTCTGTCATATTCGTTTTGTTGTCTCCATTCCGCGTCCAGGTCCGAGCAAGAGGATAATGCAACGGAGGTTCCGTCGTCTCCGTTAATGTTCGTGTTCCTGTATCTCTATAAGATTCTGTTGTGGACTTCCCTGAAATTACTCGTGAAGCATTTGGAGATGCATTCCCGGGACGGCGAAGTACCTTAGGCCTCTTGGACCGTCGGGAGCAAGAGAAGTTCTGTGTATCGAGTGAAGTAGATGATGAAGGTGCGTCTGGTTCAATATAGTCAAAGTTAGCAGGAGGTGTCCATCGTGGTTGACGGTGTATCACGCCGGAAAAGCGTCGCACCCTCTCTTCCATGTCATACAAGGCCTGGAGACATTGACATGCAGACAAGCTGGATGTATCTACTCCACACTTGTAACAGAAACTTGCACCGCACGAGCACCGAATCTGGTCGCATCCCTCTGTCCTCTCGACCAGATTCTTGCAGCTAGGACATTGTTTCCATTGCTTGCTTCTGGCAAGTTTGCAATCCCTCTCATCCATCAGCGCCTCAGGGCTCTTGCAGGTAGTTCCTTCAATCCCGACATGGTCCGAACGTCCTTGTTTGCATTCGACACAGGTCTCGGCTCGGCACTTGCTGCACAAGACAAACTTTTCCTTGTTGTCCTCAATCTGGCTTGGGGGAATGTGGAGACTGCAGAATTTGTTGGAGCAATAGATTGGGTTGCGGGTTGAGTACTCTTCGCTGACCTCAAGGTAGCGGGAAAGGACTTCCTCGTCAAGATGCTGTCGGATTGAACTTACATCCATGGGCCGCCCAGAAAAGCAGCATGTCGGTGGCCATTGGATCCTATTTGCGGTGCCGACCCTGACAAGTTCATTGAGACAAAGTCGACAATAGGTATGGCCACAATCCAGATAAATGGGATGTTTCATGGTGTCGAAGCATGCTCGGCAATTCATGAGAGCGTCGCCTTCGGGGATGGGAATGCCAGCGCGCGGCAGTCTGCTCCTTTTCCGAGTCATTGTAGACCGCTCATGCATCCGACGTATCCTAAACGACCCCGAATGAGTATCCGACACCATGTCCAGAGACTCTTCTGGCAAAGCTTCATCTCTGACGGCGGTCCTAGAATGTAGCACACCAGTGGTGGAGGAGCCCAAGTCCTGCCGTGGTTGGCTGGTGACTTTGTAACTTGGGTCTGTTGTCTCTTTGATAATTTCGACGTTGACCATGGTCTGTTCGAGAACTTCAACGTTGACCAGGGTCAAGGTGTCAATTTCCCCGCTCAGGAATCTGAGAAAAGGCTTGATTTGGTCCTCCGTTGTTTGAGCATTCCCCTTCGTTCCCGTTCCCGTTTTCGTTCCCGTCCTGCGTAAGGTTACAGCAGGCATGGCGGCAACACGGTGGCTTGAGGCTTCCTTCGTAGCAAATTCATGCGAGGTATGGCTAGTCTGGCCATCTGTTCCTTGTATTGTTCCACTGTGCGCCATCGGCTGCAATGCGTAGCGTATTCGAGGAAGAGAAGTAAACTCGAGCGTTTCCCGCGGTCTGAGGGGCTTGAAGGGAAGGGTGGACTCTGGAAGTAGTAGACACGAAGAAGATAGGTCACAAGATACTCAAGAAGAACCAGAGAGCTTTCTTTTGAGCTTGGTCAAGGCGTAATGAGCGCACGGGTATTCAGCCTTATCAAGCTAGAGCTAACAACGTAAGTTACAACAAGACGTGGATGGAAGACTTCTCACTTGTAAGCAGAGAAGCAAAGTGGTCACGATTGAGCACAAGTGCAGGTGATTATTGGGAAGAAGAGGTGAATATAAGAGGAGATGGGCATGTCACTGCAGCGGTGCCAGTGGTGCGGTGGTCGAGGTTCAAGTGGCGGGAGAAGCGACCTGCCTGACAGGCCTAGCACCCTGCACAGTGGCTTCACTGGATGCGCTGCTGTTGTGCTTCTCTTGGCGGCTTTCGATTCATCAGGTGGAAGGCAACCAGTTTTCTCACTTCCTCATCATGCGCCCTGAACCAGAGTCTCCTTTCGTTTCGGCACAGTCGATGTTCCACATTGTCTCCAGGCAGACCGTTGAGCCTTACACCGTTAGCCGCTCCCTCAATCTGTGCAAGATGCAGGCTGGTCGATGATGAAAAGCAAACACGAGCAAGAGGTGGTCACATTTGAATTGGACAGTCGACGGGAACAGAACCTGCGGTCTTCGCCTGGCAGGCGACATGAAAGAACAAAAGATGGGTAGTTGCATTCTTTTCTCCATACCGGCGAGGATTTGCCTCAAACTTGGCCTAAATAGGATTTTTCTGGGGATCTTTGTCTCGATCCATTAGCATTCGGAACGTTGCGGACCGTGGGATTCAACAGCAGACAATGTAGGGGCGCTTGAAAGACTACAAACATGACTCTTGCTTCATTATGGCAGTTTTTGTGGCGGTGGAATTAGCATTCTCTCGACTTCTGGATCATGTGTGTTCAATTTGTCTGGTGATCATTCCCTCGTCACTGCTGCCGCGTCTGTTACCGGACCTGCTTTGTTGTTTCACACGAATACAATGTTCCGCCTGTTGGTTGCTGTTTGTTCGTCACCATTGTTACTATGTTTCTATCCTGTTCTTTGCCTGTTTCTTCCCAAATCTGTACGTGCTTCTTCAACACCGAGCTGCTGGCGCGTCATCAGTGCATCTACCATTGCGTCGATATATTGCTTAACCACCATCTGCTTCCATCTTAAACACAGCCATGTCTCCCCTGACCCCGTGCCCTGGCGACGAATACCATATCGGCTCCTCTCCCACCAAGGCTCGGGCTTTTTCTGATAGTGACAGTGCTGAGGCTGTCACTCCCATCTCATCTGCTGGTGCCCAGTCTTCCACTCCTGCCGAAAGCGAGACTAGCGGGTCTCTGTTCAGCGAAGGAACCACAGCACTGCAAAATGAGCTTGACAGAAGACTGGAGGCCCTTGTTCTGGCTGAAGAGACAGTGCCTCCCCGCGGACAGACAGCGGCCGATCTTCCCACCAATGTGCCTGCGCCAACTTCTGGAGATCCATTTGGATTTGTGTGTGCTTTCGGTTTCACCGGATCATTCGACGAACCATCTGTCGTTCCCAGGACCAAACGGGCCTTCCTCGACGCCATCAGAGGTGAGATTGAGGGAATCGGTATGACGCAAAGAGGTCTGCAATCCTACCAGACGGCCATCAATTCGCGAAAGTATCATACCTTCAGCACCAAATTTCTGATTGATCAGAACACCGCCACCGTGATCACCATCGATCAATTGGATCAGATAACCACCCATTTGAAGAAAGTTGAGGAAGAGGTTCAACAGATTGAGAATGAAGACGGGGAGGTCAAGGATGAGCTTATGGAAGCATTTAACCATGCCCGACCATGGGTAATGCGTACACGGGCTCTCCTGCGACATTGCCATGTTTTCTACAAGCTCAACTTTGTCCTAGCCACTGGAACGGAGAGTATGCTGCCTTGAAAGAGGTGGCCATGACCCGGCGCGACAGGTATACCTCGTTGGGAAGGTGTAACAGATGTTTTCC